ACTCGCTACTAACAGCACTTGCCCCAACAGTCTGCTAGAGGCTACACGGGGGATCTTTGTCTGTGTATAGGCGCTGCTGCTTCTCGCTACTAACAGCACTTGCCCCAACAGTCTGCTAGAGGCTACAGGGGGGATCTTTATCTGTGTATAGGCGCTGCTGCTACTCGCTACTAACAGCACTTGCCCCAACAGTCTGCTCGAGGCTACATGGGGGGGTCTTTGTCTATGTATAGGCGCTGCTGCTACTCGCTACTACGCTACTAACAGCACTTGCCCCAACAATATGCTAGAGGCTACACGGGGGACCTTTGTCTTTCTCATGGACAAGTTGTCCGACAACCAATAACAGCAATAGGAGCCAAGAACAAATCGTAGGCTCTAATTTACTAGAAAAGAAAATGTACAAAAACATCAACTCAACATTGTATTTGTAAAGCTACAATGCCACGTGGCATACAAGACCGGGTTGGTCCGTTTTAAAAATGCTGTAATGAATAATAATCGTAACATTTGGATCGTAGATAGTCTACGTGTAAGGAGGTCAACACCCCACCCCCCACTCTCTCAGCCCAACGTGTTCCAGGAATTCTATCGACCGAACAGCTTTGCCTGTGTGTGTGTGAGCTCCTCCGGCAGGCAAGGCTGCGTTGCCTGGGTCATGTAGCTCGCACGCCCAGCCACCGCATGCCTAAACAGCTTTTGTAGGGCCGGGTCGAGGGGGCTAAACGGGCGCGGCACGGGCTAGAGAAGAGATGGAGTGATGTGGTACAGGAGGACGTGGAGCTGAGTGGACTTGCCGATGACTGGTACCAGCGATGTCAAGATCGGCCACTGTGGAGGGCGGAGGAGCGACGCTCACAACAACGAGTGGAGCGCCGGGTGGTTAAAGCAAAGCAATTACACTATGAGACCTCCTTTACCAGTGGCAAAATATAGTGATCAATTTTTACCCTTTCAACTGGTACAAAAACTAACACCTCTAAACAAGGCATCATGTTTGCAATAACCACAACACAAGCAGTCAAAATGCAAACAAAAAGAAACAACTATGATAATGATACGCACTGTCCTTGAAGTTGATTGGTCCACACCCGAGACAGATTTTCTTAGAGCCTAGTCTCACATGGTGTTGGACCAGATGACGCCAAAAGGTGTCAGTTTTTCTACCAGTTGAAAGGGTAAAAACCTATCACTAAAGCAAAGCAAGTTGGCACAGTAGGGGGCACAGGTGGTGCATCAGCCAGTCATCTCGGTCATCTCAATCAGTCGACCCGTAGCACCTGCTGGGTCTGCCCCGTGACTTCCTGCCAGCGGGCGTTCGACACTTCACGTGGCCTGAAGGTGCACATGGCCTGGCACAAGCGTCGTGGTGACGTCACCGCCACTTAGTCACGAATGGCGGTTGTTGTTGTTGAGGTCGACTCAGCCTCAAATGAGTATCTGGGGAGACAAAGGCGGCCGGGCGTGGTGTTGGCCACCCACCCCCTCGTGTGCCGTGCCGGCCTTCATAGGTGCTGCTCGCAAACAGCACTTGGGGGCCGTCCATAAATGACGTCACGCGATTTTGGACGATTTTTGACCCCCCCCCCCCTTTGTCACACGGCGTCACAAAACGTCAGACCCCCCCCCTCAAATATGACGTCACAAAGCTCTGCCCCCCCCCCCAAACCATATTTCCAATTTGAAAATTAAACATGTTTGAAATCGCTTTAAACTCTTGTCATTGTAGTGCGTATTTAATGTGGCGCTGCACTCTGATATTGTAGGAGAAAACATTTATTAAAAAGTCTATTTAATTAAGTAGAACGTGTTGTATATATTGATTTAAAGTTGCGCATTTTGATGTGACGTCAGATTTCTCAACCCCCCCCCCTCGTCACACATCGTCACAAATGTCTGACCCCCCCCACTCCCCCTATGTGCGTGACGTCATTTATGGACGGCCCCCTTGCCCCAAAAGTATGTCACAGGCTATACGGGGGATCTTTGTCTTTGTGCTAAGCCGCTGTTAATGAACTGAAAGCCGCTCGTATTTTATGTCGCCCGGAATGTTAATTAGGGGCCGGCGTGTAAACGGACGTTTCGCGTTGGACCCTTTTGCAGCTGAGGCCTATTCTGCAGGTGCTCGAGATTGACATTTTTGGGGTCGTGAGCGGAAATGGAACCTCCGAACCCCCCTGGGTTTGTAGCGCTAACCGCTGCGCCACCGCTCCCCACCGCTACACACACAAAGACAAAGTTCCCCCAGTACAGCCTGAACAGACTGTTGGGGCAAGTGCTGTTAGCGAGTAGCAACCTTTGCAGGCCGGCACGCCACACGAGCCCGGCCGCCTTTGTCTCCCTGTAGTGGCAATGCTTTCACACAACGTGCCACAGGTATTCATTTGAGGCTGAGTCAACCTAGGAGCGGTTCAGATCATCGCCACTGGTTGTTGGCCGTGAGAGTGGGAATCGAATTCGGGTCGCCGGGTTCGTAGTGCAGCGTAGCGCGAACAGCTACACTGTCGCTCCCTGCTACCACCACCACAACCACCACCACAAGCACTACCAGCACTACTACCAGGACCACCACCCACCAGCACCACCACCACAACCACCACCACCAGCACCATCACCAGCACCACAAGCACCACCACCACAACCACCACCACCAGCACCACCACCAGAACCACCACCAGCACCACCAGCACCACCAGCACCACCACCACCAGCACCACCACAAGCACCACCACAAGCACCACCACCACCACAAGCACCACCACCACCACAAGCACCACCACAAGCACCACCACCACAAGCACCACCACCACAAGCACCACCACCACCACAAGCACCATCACCAGCACCACCAGGACCACCACCAGCACCACTAGCACCACCAACAGCATCACCACCACCAGCACCACTACCACCACAAGCACCACCACGCCATTCGCCACGAAGTGGCGGTGACGTCACCACGGCGCCTGTGCCAGGCCACGTGCACTTTGAGGCTATCACGTGAAGTGTCGAAGGCTCGCTGCTGCTGGCAGGAGGAGGTCACGGGACAGACCCAGATGACATGGGTTGGCTGAGATGACCGGTAGATGCAGACACACAGACACAGACACACAGACACACACACAGATACACACACAGGCACACACACACAGACACACAAACACAGACACACACACACAGACACACAGACACAGACACACACACACAGACACACACACATACACACACACAGACGACACACACACACTCTCACGCTCCTGTGTTGCTCATGGTGACCTCCATAATGTGAGAGAAGATTACCCGGTTTACTGGCCACGGGTTTCTGGAAATGATCCGCTTACTCCGCGAGGGGCAGGGGGGTTTGTTGTTTGTAAGTTGGGGAACGTTTGGGAATCCCCACGGTGTCGAGCGGCTCCTGGGCACGGGTGAATCAATCGGTGTGAAGTTCGCGGGGCACGGTGGCAAGTAGCGTAGTCGTACTGCAGTAGAGTCGTTGGATGGGCGAGTGAGTCGCTTGGGTGGTTGACTGGACGAGTGAGTGTGTGAGTTGATGACTGGGTGAGTGAGTGGGTGAGTGGATCGTTGGGTGAGTGATTGATTGGTTGAGTGAGTGGGTGAGTAAATGATTGGGTGTGTGAGTGGATGACTGGGTGCGTGAGTGGGTGAGTGGATCATTGGGTGAGTGGTTGACTGGTTGAGTAAGTGGGTGAGTAAATAACTGGGTGTGTGAGTGGATGACTGTGGGAGTGAGTGGATTACTGGGTGAGTGATTGACTGGGTGATTAGCTGGGTGAGTGAGTGGCTGAGTGGATCATTGGGTGAGTGATTGACTGGTTGAGTGAGTGGGTGAGTCAATTACTGGGTGTGTGAGTGGATGGCTGTGGGAGTGAGTGGATTACTGGGTGAGTGATTGAATGGGTGAGTAGCTGGGTAAGTGAGTGGGTGAGTGGGTGAGTGGATCATTGGGTGAGTGATTGACTGATTGACTGAGTGGGTGAGTAAATTACTGGGTGTGTGAGTGGATGGCTGTGGGAGTGAGTGGATTACTGGGTGAGTGATTGACTGGGTGAGTAGCTGGGTGAGTGAGTGACTGGGTTAGTTAGTGTGTGAGTTTATGCCTGGGTGAGTGAGTGGCTGAGTGGATCATGAGGTGAGTGATTGACTGGTTGAGTGAGTGGGTGAGTAAATGAATGGGTTTGTGAGTGAATGACTGAGAGTGGATTACTGGGTCAGTGATTGACTGGGTGATTAGCTGGGTGAGTGAGTGGCTGAGTGGATCATTGGGTGAGTGATTGACTAGTTGAGTGAGTGGGTGAGTCAATGATTGGGTGTGTGAGTGGATGACTGGGTGAGTGAGTGGGTGAGTGGATCATTGGGTGAGTGATTGACTGGTTGAGTGAGTGGGTGAGTAAATGAATGGGTGTGTGAGTGAATGACTGTGAGAGTGAGTGGATTACTGGGTGAGTGATTGACTGGGTGATTAGCTGGGTGAGTGAGTGGCTGAGTGGATCATTGGGTGAGTGATTGACTGGTTGAGTGAGTGGGTGAGTCAATGACTGGGTGTGTGAGTGGATGGCTGTGGGAGTGAGTGGATTACTGGGTGAGTGATTGAATGTTTGAGTAGCTGGGTGAGTGAGTGGGTGAGTGGATCATTGGGTGAGTGATTGACTGGTTGAGTGAGTGGGTGAGTAAATGACTGGGTGTGTGAGTGGATGACTGAGAGTGAGTGGATCACTGGGTGAGTGATTGACTGCGTGAGTAGCTGGGTGAGTGAGTGGGTGAGTGAGTGACTGGGTAAGTGTGTGAGTGGATGAGTGACTGGGTGAGTGAGTGTGTGAGTACGTAAGTAAATGGGTGACTGTGTCAGGGAGTAACGGGATGAGTGGATCACTGGGAGAGTGAGTGACTAGGTGAGTGAGTGACTGGATGAGTGAGTGACTGGGTGAGTGAGTGCCTGGGTGAGTGAGTGCGGTGGCAGGAACCGACAAGGCACTCCGGTCCACATCTTTCCAAGTTTAATTACTCTTGTTGAAAGTTTGCACACAGCACTAAAAACAGTAAAATGATTAAACACCACGAGGTCGAATATCTCAGATAGTCTCCAAGTCCCCTCTGCTGTCATCTCCTCATCCCGGCGCCTCTCTCTCCACATCGCCACCATAATCATCAACGTAGCCACAATTAACTTAAGCGTCACGCGAATTCCATCTTTCAAAAATCAATTATCATTGTTTGCCTGTAATTCAAACCATCGCCGTCGTCGATGGCCGCTTTTACCCACAAACGCACCACGGGATTTCAGTTCTACGAGCGCGTGCGTGAGCGCGTGCGTGGGCGCGTGCGTTTCGAACAAAGGGGGGGGGGGGGGAAATCCACCCCCGAACCATTTCCTCCGCGAACACGCCATCGATGATGGAGAGGGGTGAATGTCTCTCCACCTCGCGCGATCTTTGAACTCCCCCCCACCCCACCCCAACCTCCTTCGGATCGACCACGGGCCGCCAACATCACCAGAGGGATCGGCCTCTCGCCTCGCTCTTCGTTGAACCCAAATGAAAACGAAACAATAACGAAATTCATCATATCGGGCTCCTACAAAAGTCAACCGTTCGCTCGCTCGCTGTGACAGCGACGTAGAGTCAGATTTTCCCGAACGTTCCCCCCCTAACATTCCCCGAACATTGCCGTCACCGGATGGATCGCCCTCACCGGTCATAAATGCGCGCACCGCACGAGCCCTATGATTGGTAAACAAAAACAAACAGCAGCGGCTTGTGCCAGGCTAGGTGCACTCCGGGGTTCTGGCTGCTGGAATTATGTCACGGGACAGACCCAGCAGGTCCCGTGGGTTGACTGCTGTGCCAGGCTAGGTGCAGGAGGAGGTGGTCACGGGAACAGACCCTGCAGGTGTCATGGGTTGTACTGATTGAGATGACTTGCAGGCGAACCACCTGTGCCCACCACTGTGCCAACTCACAGACACACTCACTCACACACTCAGCCAATCACACACATTATAACCCACTCACTCGCCCACTCGCTCACCTGCTCACACTCTCTCACTCACTTTCACACTCACACACTCAGCCAATCACACACATTCTCACCCACTCACTCGCCCACTCGCTCACCTGCTCACACTCTCACACTCACTTACACACTCACTCACACACTCACCCAATCATACACATTCTCACCCACTCACACTCTCACACTCACTTACACACTCACACACCCAATCACACACATTCTCACCCACTCACTCGCCCACACTCTCACTTACAAACTCACCGACTCACTCACCTGCTCACTAACTCTCACTCGCAAACTCACCCGCTCACTCTCACGCACCCACTCACAAACTCTCATACTCATTGTTAGCAATCAGCACTTACAAAGGCTGGCACAGCATACGAGGGGGGTAAGTTGCCATCACCACGCCTGTCCATCTTTGTCGCCCCAGTGCCGATGTTCTATACACATACTCCGCACTGGGTACTCATTTGAGGCTGAGTTAATCTAGGTGAGGACCCAGAACCAGTCCAGATTATCGTGGTGGCCGTAGCTCAGTGCAGCACGCTGACCACTGCACCGCCGCTCCCCAAAAATACAAAGATCCCCCTGTAGCTTTTAACAGACTATTGGGACAAGAGCTGTTAGTGAGTAGCACCGGCGAAAGCCCCCACACACACAAACACACACATACGCCGCTCTCCGTCGTGAACTCCAATCGGCCATCCTCCTCTCTTATCGCGTGGGACATGTTGAACAATCATCAGGCAGGTGCGGTGCGTTTGGAAGGGCACAGCAGGCAAATAACCAGGGCGCGTGGCGAGAAGCCAGCAGGCTTAGTGGGGGGTTTTCGGGAAATGAAATCGACAACTCCCTGGAACCAGTCAGCGTCGAACTGGTTTGGGTCTCTGTGTGCGTGTGTGTGTGAGAGAGTGGAATAACTGGCCCAGCCAGAGCCACCACATCAGGGCACCCCACCCATCCACACACTCAGCTTACCAAGCACCATATAAAGGTTGGGGGGGAGGGCAGATATGAATAGAGAGAGAGATGAATAGGCTGGCCAATTGCACAACGATTCTGGCCATATTTAATACGTGGGCTCCAACCTAACCTTCAACTACAGTGGGCCCACTATCAACACTACCAAACCATCGAGAGTGAACGCGCGCAAAATGCTACAATCTGATTGGCCCATCCTGATAGGCATGAGCATGACCCAATTCAAATGCTTTTCTCCGATTCGCTGCTGTCCACATCGCTGTCACGATATTTTGAACAATTAAAAATGCAGCCCGTCGCTCCGATTGGTCGATTCAATGCCACGCAGTGAACCCACTGGCCAAAGATATCGCCAAGGGCCATACAAAATTGGCCAATTCAACACTGTCGTCTTCTGATTGGCCAGTGGCACGCTGCCGTGTGATTGGATAGTTGAACACGGCCATCAATTTCACGGCATCACATCTGAGCAGAGTAGCTGAGTAAACACCGTCTTCCGATTGGTCGAAGATTTAACACAGTGACCCGATGGGCCAATATCACCACAGCCATCCCGATTGGTCGATTCAATACCGTCTTCCGATTGGTCGACGATTTAACACAGCGACCCGATTGACATTTATCACCATGACCATCTCGATTGGCCGATCAAACACCGTCTTCCGATTGCTTGACGATTTAACACAGAGACCCTATCAAGAGCTATCACCACGGCCGTCTCGACTGCCAATCAAACACCATCCACCGATTGGTCAACGATTTAACATGGCAACCCGATCAGCCAACATCGCTATGGCCGTCTCGATTGGCCGAATGAATAATGTGACGCTGCAAATGAGAAGACGTTGCAATGATCGGCACCGTTCATTTGAAGCCGCGAGTCCCCACAAGTAACGCCCCAGCGGGCCTACATCGAGGATTTTCCCCGACTATTAGCAAGGCGGAGGGGATTGCTCAATGGGGCTAACGCTGCGTGCCGCGCTATCGGAGCGTTAAAAGTCCCGGGCGGCATAAACGCTCGCCGCCCCGACGTTTTCTGTACCAAAACAAAAAAAATAACTAAAAAAAAGTTCCCCATGCGGATTTCCTTGGAGGGGTGAAGGTAGCGGAAGTCACGTGGATGTGTGTGCGTGTGTCTCTGTGACGTAGAGGTCGCAAATGGGTTTTGATTCCTTACCCGTACCCGGCCGCACCAGGGTCGCAAACGGGTACCCGTACTCGTACCCGGCCGGGTACGGGTAGGGTACGAGTATCGGGTACCTGATTGCGACTTCTGGAATGAAGCCATGTTGCAGGCGCGGGTGGGTTGATTCTAGGAACTTGAATTGGGAGAAGAGACAAGACGTTGGAAAATGAGTGACAAACGGTTACTCACCAGTGACTCACGGCCTACCCGTACCCGTACCCGGCCGCACCAGGGTCGCAAACGGGTACCCGTACCCGGCCGGGTACGGGTAGCCGGGTATCAGGTAGGGTACGGGTATCGGGTACCCGGTTGCGACCTCTGCTGTGACGTAGAGGTCAGGTGTGCGTGGTGTGGGCGTGGTTTAGTGTCGTCACGGGCTCGCGCGCTCCGCTTGCGAACCTGGAGGACCCGGGGTTCGATTCCCGCTCTCGCAGCCACCGCCAGCACTCGTGACGACTATATCGGAACAGGTCCTGCGCCTCCGCCTAGGTCGACTCAGCCTTAAATTAGTCCCTGGTGCGGTGTGAAAACATCGCCACTCGGGGAGACAAAGGCGGCCGGGCCACCCACCACCTCGTGTGCTCGCTAACAGCACTTGCCCCCCCCCCCCCAAACAAGTCTGTTAAAGGCTACGCCGGGGATCTTTTGTGTTGGTGTGTGTTGATCTTTTTTCGCACCGTACCCTAGGCAACTCTGCCAATCGGAGGTGAGTGTGGGTGCTGTGAACGCGCTGTTTGGTACGAGTGTGGTGCGTGGAGTGTCTGTGCGTGGTGTGTCGGTGTGTGTGCATGTGTACTATGTGTGTACTGCGTGCGCACTGTATCTGTACTGTGTACAGTGCGGTGTACAGTGCGTTATGTGCTGCGTACAGTGCGTACTGTGCTGCGTGGGGTGAGTGTGAGGAGGACGTCTGGGCTTCAATATTGCATCAGAGGTGTGTGTGTGTGTGCTCTGCGTATAAACAGTGGGGTTGGTGGTGAATGGTGGTGGTTGTGGTGGTGGTTGTTGCGGATGGTAGTGGATGATGATGATGGTGGTTGTTGTCTCCCACAATCGTCCACCACCATCTCACTTGTGCAGGTAAGCGTCCAGCCACAGCTCCCCAGACGCTCTCAGCGAGCTGGCGTTGGGGATGGGGGAGACGGGGAGAGATAAACAAAAACGTCGTCACCACCAACAACAACAACCACGCAGACAGACCACGGGGTTTGGCAAGATGTCTCTCATCTGCAGCGCTACAGCCACTGTGTCTCCCCCATGTCCCCATGTCTCCCCATGTCCCCATGTCTCCCCCATATTCTCGTGTCTTCACCATACCCCCAAGTTTCCCCATGTCTCCCCTGTGTCTCCATATGTCTCCCCAATGTCCCCGTGTCTCCCAATGTCTCCCCATGTCCCCATGTCTCCCCTATATTCTTGTGTCTTCACCGTACCCCCGAGTTTCCCCATGTCTCCCCTGTGTCTCCCTATGTCTCCCCAATGTCCCCGTGTCTCCCAATGTCTCCCCATGTCCCCATGTCTCCCCCATATTCTCGTGTCTTCACCGTACCCCCGAGTTTCCCCATGTCTCCCCTGTGTCTCCCTATGTCTCCCCAATGTCCCCGTGTCTCCCTATGTCTACTCCATGTCCCCGTGTTTCCCCCGTGTCTTCCCCGTGTCTCCCCCGTTTTTCCCCACGTCTCCCCCATGTCCCCGTGTATCCCTATGTCTCCCTCATGTCCCCGAGTCTCCCCGTGTCTCACCCGTGTCTCCATGTCTCCACCAGATCTCCCAATGTCTCCCCAATGTCCCCGTGTCTCCCTCATATTCCCGTGTCTCCTCCGTGTCCCCGTGTCTCTCACGTGGCCCCGTGTCTCCCCCGTGTCTCCCCCATGTCCTCGTGTCTCCCCCATCTCCCCACCCATGTCTCACCGAACGACGTCGACGCACGCGGTGATGAGCGGCTTGCTCTGGTAGTCCAGGCCGTGTTTGCTGCAGAGCGACTTGACGAGCGAAGAAATCTTGTGGTAGTTGTGACGCGGCATCGTGGGGAAGAGGCTGGAAACGTCAACATCATCAACATCAATATCAAAATCAACCACACTAACACTAACATCAACAAAATCAACAACATCAACAAAATCAATATCAACATTATCACATCAAAAACAACACCAACACCATCATCAACAGCATTAATATCAACAGCAACATCATCAACACCAACGTTAAACACACCAACACTAACATCAACAAAATCAATATCAACATTATCATCAACAACACCAACAACATCAACATCATCAACAACATTAATATCAACGGCAACATCATCAACACCAACGTCAACCACACCCACACTAACATCAACAAAATCAACATCAACAATATTAACATCATCAACATCTTCAACATCATCATTATTATCAACAACATCAACCACATCAACACAACATCAATATCAACATAATCAACACCAATATGAATATCAACATCATCAATTACAGCAACCACAGACATAAATGGTGACTGTGTGGGTGGTGATGATGACGTTGATGGTGTTTATGATGCTGATGTTTCGTTGATCGTGCTGATGTGTCGTTGATTGTGTTGATGATGACGTTGATGGTATGGACGATGATGGTGTTGACGATGACGTTGGTTGTGTTAACGATGACGTTGATGGTGTTGACGATGATGCTGATGTTAACGACATTCATGGTATTGATGATGATGCTGATGGTGCTGATCTGTCGTTGACGGTGTTGATGATGACATCGCTGGTGGTGACGTTTGGTCACTCACTGGTGCTCTATCTGGAAATTGAGATGGCCGCTGAACCAGTCGTTGAAGAACGATTGGTCCACATTGCACGTGGCCTCCAGCTGCAAACAGATGGCAAACGAACATCACGGACCTACAGGGGTCTGGATTTGCACGACAGCCCATGCGTCTGTGTGTGTGCGTGTTATCACGCCATGCTCTAACAGGTTTAACAATGAATCCGCGACAGAATGAATGATCAATTTAACACGTAGCAGGAGGCTTTCACGACCAATATTATCCATAATAGAGGGTTTTTTGGGGGGGGGGGTTAGATTGCGTAAATATGAATGTCGTTAAACCCGCCACCATCATAATGCCTGGGTCTCTCCCATGACCTCCTGCACCTATCCTGGCACAGCAGTCAATCCATAGTGCCTTGGTCTGTACCATGACCTCCTGCACCTATCCTGGCACATCATGAGGGCACAGCTGGTGCATCTGCCAGTCGTCTCAGTGAACCCATGGCACCATCTGGGTCTGTCCCGTTAACTCCTTCCGCACCCAGCCTGGCACAGCAGTCAACCAATGGCACCTGGGCCTGTCCCGTGACCTCCTGCCAGCAGCGACAGCCTTCGACACTTCACGCGGCGGCTTGGGACAGGCCAGCCCTGTGCTTCCCGCGCGGTCGTGGGCTCACACCTGCATCGTGGTCCAGTCCTTGTGCTTCTCGTGGTCGATGTCCATAGGGATGTGGTTCATCTGTGTCACCCACACGAACCAGTGGCTCTCGATCACCCTGCGCACGGGGGGCACGCGAGACGACGAGGAGTCGTGACGCACGTCTTTCAAGAGGGGCCGACGGACTGCCCAACAGGCGGCCGTAGTAACAACAACAAAACGAACGCGAAAGACATTCAGCCGTGGATAGACAATGGTGATGGTAGTAATTACACTGAGAGACAGAGAAAGGAGCACGTGGCTTAGAGAACACACGCAGGGGAGAGACATCATCATCGTCGTCGTCAGAGTGATCCAGCAGTGGGTAGGCCATGGTGATGGTGATTAGAGAGAGAGAGGGGCACTTGGATTAGAGAACACGCAGGGGAGAGACATCATCGTTATCATCGTCGTCGGAGTGATCGTCAACCAGCAGTGGATAGACCATGGTGATGGTGATTAGACAGAACAGAGGAGCACGTGGATTAAGGAACACGCAGGGTAGAGGAGACATCACCACCAGCACGGTGATCTCCACCCAACAGTGGACAGACCATGGTGATGGTGATTACACAGAGAGACAGAGGAGCATGTGGATTAAAGAACACGCGTATGGTCCAGACATCACCACAACAGTCACATTGATCTCCATCCAGCAGCGGATAATGGCCGCGTCTTCCTGGGCTGGAGTGGGGGATGATGGGATCGACGCTCCTCACCTGACCACGAAGATGAGAGCCATGGCTCCCAGGAGGCCGTAGAAGGGAGTGTAGGTGAGGAAGTAGCGGATGTAGTAGGTGACCGACCACGCCAGGTCCTGCAACGCACGTGTAACGACACCGACAGAAACCGTGTACTAGGAGCCTCTTGACTGTTGTAGTGACATAGAATCGGTCATGTAGCAGCATAGCGCCGGCTGCTGGCAGGGAAGGGGATCTGCAGCCTACAGCAGTCCTGACTGACGGCAGGCCACGTGATAGACGAGAGAGGGATCTATGGGAAGGGTCACGGAAGGGGCACATCAAGAACCCGCTAGTAAGTTCCAGAAAGGGGGTGTGGCCGGGGGCGAAGCCAGGCCACGCTGACAGTATAAGAGGGGCCCCGGGAGGGGACCTCGGGGCTGTCGTTTGGAGTGGGATCCCGTCGTGCTGCTGGAGTCTTCACCAGTCAGGTAGCCTACCAGCTGCCCTGACTGGGAACCGTAGTTCATTTAGTGATGAGTTATAAAGTATTAACTGATAAGGCCATATTCTCTTGGTTCTTTCGGTAAAGTCACGTAGAAGGGAAATAATACAATAATACAAATATAAAACAAACAAAAATTCTCACGACGTTTCGATTGCAACACAAGCAATCATCATCAGGTGTGAAATCCACAGCAAGAAAATTTGATAAGGCCGTGTTAATAAACAGAGTGCCTCCTACTCCTAGTGTCTCCGATGCAGTCACTACACTGTTGTGACACGCAGCAACCACCCTAGGCCCGGCTTCCTCCGGGTCTTTGAAGCTCGACCCTTCCCTCGAACGTTCCCTTCCCCTTGTGTCCTTCTTGAGCCCTCCTTCTCGAACTTTCTCCCACCGCTTTTACCCCAGCCAATTCCCTGTCCTCAACGGTTCTCAACCGTCGCCTCCAGGTTCGAATTCCGTTTTTTCTTCCTTTTCCCGTTTGCACCTTTCCTCCAGTCCCTTCAAACCCTCGCCTCCCGAACAGTCATCCTGGAGGCCACTCGAAGCCAAGAGGAGGCTTTGGTCTACTCCCTGGAAGTCCATCAGAGGGATCGCGACACCATTCGAAAAACCATTAGCCTGCTTTTGATAGAATCTCCACGTGGTGGTGGTAGTGATGACGATGATATCAGCCACTAATCGGTTGAGCTGCTATCCTTAGTGATAAGCCACGTCAGGGTGGCTTCTGAACAAGAGGCTACATAACCAGTGAGGGCTTACACCTGTTAAGATTAAAAAAAACTAGTTTAGTTTTATTTGTATATATTTTGTTCAGTGATGCGTTTACCTTTTCTATACAGTAGGGTGGGTAGAATAATACTTAGGGTAATATTATAGTCGAAGGTATAGAGTGGTGTATAGTAATACAGTATGTAATTTAATGTTGGGTTTGTCTATGGCAGTATATAGTACGGGGTAGACCCGTGTGATGTAAGAGAAAAAAGTTTAGCTGGAAGCATATTATATTTTTTGCGACATAGAATTGTAATGTATGACTTACTGTTAGTAGCTCAGCTTATTGTAGAGTATATTTAGTATACTGATGATACTATGTAGTTTATACTTTAGTTTTTTACTTGGTTGTTTCGTAACTGCAGCTACATACTATTAACATTCCTTCCCTTTGTTAATGCTACCCCCATCCCCTCCCTTTGATGCTGCTAATCCTGCATAATGCACGGGCATAATATGACTTTGAAACCCCCCGCCCACCTCCTACGCATTTCCCATAAATATGCAAAATTCCTCTTGATATGCAAATTATTTTGTCAAGGCGCTCTTCTTCCCCCTCCAACCCAGCTTAAATATACACTCCGAGCTTGGTGGTGTTTCATTCTTCACCTGAGGACGGCTGCTTGCGTTGTGGCCGAAACGTCGTGAGAATTATTTTATTATGTTTTATTTTTATTATTGTATTACTTCCCTTCTACGTGACTTTACCGAAAGAACCAAGAAGATGATGCCTTGTATAAAGGTGTCAGTTTTTGTACCAGTTGAAAGGGTAAAAACCTATCACTATATCATTTAATCTTGTTAGAGCACACGACTCGCGGTGTTGAGTGTGCGAGCCCGGGACCATTGCGATCCCGAGTGTGACTCACCACCCAGTCTCTCCTCTTGAACATCGTGCTGATGATTTGCATGTGGAAGTACACGGGGATGAGAAGGGGTGGCCCGACTGCAAAACACCAGACAAAGACAAAGGTAAAGTATCGGAACACCCACCGACCCAGCCAATGGAACACAGAGGCAAAGGTCAAATATCCATCCAGCCACCCACCACCCACCAACCCACTCAATGCAACACAGACAAAGGTAAAATATCCACCCACCACCCACCCACACAATGCAACAGAGACAAAGTATCCGAACACCCACCCACCCAATGCAACACAGACAAAGACAAAGCTACAGTCTCCACTCGCTACCCACCCAGCCAATGCAACAGAAAGACAAAGCTACAATATCACCCCCCACCACCCAACCAATGCAACACAGACGAAGACAAAACTACAGTATCCACCCCCCCACCACCCACCCAATGCAACACAGACAAAAACAGAGGTAAAGTATCCAAACACCCACCCACGCAATGCAATACACCCACAACTTGTCGAGAAGATTGCTGTTGTCTGTATATCTATTGGACCGTTTTGCTAGTATGTGTGTATGTATGTACGTCGAACTTCTTTTGCACCGTACGTAGCCATCCCTGCTAATCGGAGTTGCGATTGGCACGGCTGACTGGCGCCCACCAACAACAATTACCCGCCATTCACCAGGAAGGTGCGGTGACGTCACCAAGGCGCCTGTGCCGGGCCAGGTGCCCCTTTGAGGCCACGTAAAGTGTGGAAGACTCGCTGACAGAAGGTCACGGGACAGATCCAGCAGGTGCCATTTGTTGACTGACTCAGATGACTGGCAGATACACCACCTGTGCTTCCCACTGTGCCAACTCGCTGCGTTCTAGCTGCCTCGTGCTCCGCGCGTTGTTGTGAACGTCGCTCCTCCACCCTCCGCTGTTGCTGGAGGACAACTGCCTAAAACTGCCCAGTAGTGTCCTTCACGAGCCTCCTCCACGGAGGCCGATCTTGACACCGCTGGTTCCAGTCATTGGCAAGTCCACTCAACTATATATCCTCTTGAACCACATCACCCCATTTCTTCTCTAGCCCTTGCTGTGCCCCGTTTAGTCCCCCTCTATCCACCCAAACAGAAGCTGATGGGAATGTGTCCACATCTTTCGAGGATTTGTGAGCTCCTCACACAATCCCCCCTGGTTAAACCCAGGATGGATGATAGGCAGGCCAGCCTGAATGTTTCTAACCGGCGCAAATGTTCCTTTGGGGGGGGTCCATGTTTCGCAAGCGTAGAGAATGGAGGGCATGACTGTGGCCGAGAAGACCCAAAGTTTCGTATGGAGCGACAGACCAGGTAGCTTCCACACAGTGTTATGCATCCGTTTAAACAATAAGAGTGAGACCTCTGCTGCCAAACCGGAGCCGGTCATGATCACACTGCCCAGGTATGGAAAACTCTCCACTCTCTCCACAACTGTCCCATCACCAATTGGGAATTGTGGGCATGGAGTGTCTGGTGGTACAAAATACCCAGGCAGGTGCTTAGTTTTAGTGGGGCTAATGCTAAGGCCCCACCACACACACACAAAGACAGACATACAAACACAAAGACACAGACACACACACAAAGACAGATATACACAAACACAAGACAGGCACACAAAGACACAGACACACAAAGACACATACACACAAAGAGACACACAAGACACCGACACACGCACAAAACACACAAATAAACACAAAGACACAGACACACTCAAATACAGACACACAAAGACAGATAGACACAAGACACAGACGCACAAAGATACATACACAAATAGACACACACAAGACACGGACACACGCACAAAACACAAATAAACACAAAGACAGACACACACAAAGACACAGACAGACACAAAGTACTCACTTAGAAAGAAGTATTTGTGCTGTTGATTGTAAGGAAGGATTTTCATTTTCTTGACTCCGTACTATACATATGGGGGGGGGGCGTGGAGGGGGGGAATACAGAGCATAACTCAGCATTTATTTTATCGCTCACAATAAAACAATGATCCCCTCCCCCACCGTATCGCTGGGTTCGTAGCGCAGCGCACTAACCGCTGTCACCACCGCCATTATGATCACGACCACTATCACCACCACTACCCCAACTATTTCTATCACCTCGATCATCACTTTCACCATCATCACCCCCACCACTGCCATCACCACTATCCACCACCACCATTACCATATTCACTCTCATCACGAGCATCATCATATTCACATTCACTCATCATATTCACTTTCATCGTCATATTCACTGTCATCATATTTTCTCTTATCATCACTACCATCATATTCACTCGGATCACCACCATCATCATATTCACCCCCCCCCCCACTCATGCCCTTCTCCCAATGCCCCCCCCCCCCCCATTACCTTACCCCCCACCCCCACAGCTCATCACCTCCACGGGTTGCGTGCGTCCCAGCACGAACACGTGCAGCATGTTGACGTCGGGGTCTTTGCGGAAGACGTTGGGCTTGGCGTGGTGCTGGAAGTGGCGGTGGTTCCACCAGCTGCCCGAGGCGCCCTTCAGGTGGCCGATGATGAACTTGTGGAGGAGGTGGTTCCAGCGTGACGAGCGGAACACCGACAGATGCCCGAAGTCGTGCTGCAGCCAGCCAGCCTGGGCCTGCCAGCGAAGATGCGCGCGCGGAGAGAGTGGAGGGCACGGTCGATCGGTCGGTCGGAGATAACGGAGAGAGAGCAGAGAGAGGAGAGTGAGCGAGAGCGTGAGAGAGTGAGCGAGCGAGAGAGTGAGCGAGCGAGTGAGCGAGAGAGTGACCGAGAGAGTGAACGAGAGAGGAGAGAGTGAGCGAGAGAGTGAGCGAGAGAGTGAGCGAGAGAGAGAGCGAGAGAGTGACCGAGAGAGTGACCGAGAGAGAGAGAGCGAGAGAGTGAGCGAGAGAGAGAGCGAGAGGTGAGGGTTTACATAAAGCAAAGTAAAAAAATTACGAAATGATGAACGAAGCAAAGTGCCGAATACACCAAGCATCTTCTTGTTTCCACTGATCGTAAAAAAAAATAGGAGAGAGATGGGCGGATCGACTCGTATAGACCCCCAGACTTACATAGATGCTCATACTCACCACACAGAGATACATAGACTCATCATACAGATCATGGGACCTCCTATGCCAGATCAAAATACGAGAGAGTAGGTTTTCCACTTTTTCTTGCAACAAAACAAGCGTTGAGATGTTAAGGAATGAGTGTTCAAACATCTTGACACCTGTTTTGTTGCCAGAAAAAAGAGGGAAAACCTATTCTCATCAGCATACAGAGACCCACAAACTCGCCACAAACAGAGAGAGACACATAGACTCACACATAGACTCACACAGAGAGACCCACATACCACAAAAACATGGACAGCCATAGACTCACACAGACCCACAGACTCGCCACACACACAGAGAGACCTATAGATTCACACAGAGACCTACAGACTCACCACGTACACAGAGAGACCCACAGACTCACCACACACACACAGAGAGACCCACAGACTCACCACACACACAGAGAGACCCGCGGCTGACCTGCGACGTGGCGAGGATGATGGTGACGAGGACTGTGGGCACCCAGCCGGTACCGAAGAAGGCCAGGAGGCCCCAGGCCAGCACCTCGAGGAGAATGATGTGGCCCAGGTAGAGCGAGAAGAAGGAGGCGGAGGCCCGGAAGAGGCCCATGGTCTCAGCCGTTGCTCGCAACCTCTGGAAGTCCTCCACGAGCTCACGCTGTCGATTAGAGGCAATGGCGGCGGTGAGAGCAAGGTAAGAGAGAGAGAGCCAGGTGAGAGGGAGGGCTCCCTCCTATTTCGGCTTTGCTCCTTACTCTTTAGGCTCCGCTCCTTACTCTTTAGGCTCCGCTCCTTACTCTTTAGGCCCCTGCCTCCATCCTCTTTCGGCCTCATTTATTCCACTTGAGCCCCCTGCCTCCTTCATCTTTAGGCCTCATTCCTTCCCCTTTAGGCCCCACTCCTTCAGATGAAGAACAGGGCTGAATGATAATTCAGACGCTGTCTTTCCGACAGACCTGTTCTTCACCTGAGGACGGCTGCTTGCGTTGTGGCCAAAACGTGAGAATTATTTTATTATGTTTTATTTTTAATATTTTATTATTTCCCTTCTACGTGACTTTACCGAAAGAACCAAGAAGATGAATCCCTGCAGTCACGAACGCTTCAAATCGAAATATGGATGCTTTCATACATTTTTATTATACTTTTAGTTCATTATAATGTGATGTCATTTTGTTAATGTATCATTCTTATTGTTTACTTTGTGTCAGCCACTTCATTTAGTCCCGTAAAGCACCATGTATTGCATGGCTTGCAACGAATCGTCCTCTAAAAGTAAAGTTTGATTGATTGACCAAAGGACATATGGCCGCCAGAAATATGTGGCCACTACTCGACCATATTGGCACTACAAGACAGAGAATAAAGTGGAAATACCAAATGACGAAATGTTGCAGTGGACACCCTTTACGGGCTATTTGCCCGATGGATTGTGATGACGATGATGATGGAAAAAAGACTCAATATTTCAAGAGCCGTGATGCGCACGGTGAATATAAATAACGCCACAGAGGGGTCGTGGAAGAGCCACGTAATGGCTTAGGAATCGCAGGTTGCCGAAGCCTGCCCTGGCCCTGGTCAGTACCTTCTTGCCGTTGTCTTGACTGGGCTCGTCTGGTGCCAGATCCCCGATGTAGAACATCTTCAGGTATTTCTGGGAGAGCGACAGATTCGGGTGGAAGGCCCGGAACGCGTCCTGCGGATCACCCCGGAGAACGAGAGAGAGAACGAGAGATGCGGTAAATAAGCGGGCACTTAGTTGGGTGGTGGTGATGGTGGTGATGGTGGTCAGAGTGGTGGTGTTTATGGTAGCCGTGGTGGTGGTGGAGGTAGTTGATGTGGTCGTGGAGGTGGTGGTGGAGGTCGTGAGGGTTTGGAGGAGGAAGAGGAGGGGACGGGCGGTAGTTGCGAGGTGAGCGATTAGCACGCTGCGCTACGAACACGGCGACCCGAGTTCAATTCCCGCTCACGGCCACCACCAGTGACGATTATCAGACTTGGCCTCAAATGAGTACCTGGTGTGGTGTATAAACATCGCCACTCGGGAGACAAAGGCGGCCGGGCGTGGTGTTGGCCACCCACCCCCTTCATAGGTGCTCGCTAACAGACTACCGAGTGGGCGGCCTAAACCTCGTGCCGGCAGCAAGAGGCCACACTTCACGTGGTGGCCTCAAAGTGCACCTAGCCTGGCACGAGGGCCGGGGGGGGGTGACATCACCGCCACTAAGTGTGGCGATCGGTGGCTGCTGCGTGTGTGTGTGGTGTAAGCAAAGACAAAGATCCCCCAGTGTAGCCTTAACAGACTGTAGGGGCAAGTGCTGTAAGCGAGCACCTATGAAGGCTGACACGGCACACGAGGGGGTGGGTGGGTGGGTGGCCAACACCACGCCCGGCCGCCTTTGTCTCCCCAGTGGCGATGTTTTACACACCATACAAGGTACTCATTTGAGGCTGAGTCGACCGAGGGGGAGAGCCCAGGACGGGTTGTTTAGATAACACTGGTCAACAACAAAAAAAGCATTTTTTTCTGGCCTGGACTTTTGCAGCTGTTTTAGACTAATTTCAGGGTGCTGATTCCAAATCTGATCTCAGATTTGCTCTATCACATAATTTGTATGCTATCGACATACCCCATTTTCATTGATTTTACCCGAAATTAACTCTGCCACTTATGATTGCAAGTTGTTGCGAGTCAGTGACTGCTTTAGTGTTAAAATATGGCGCTGTATTTTTAGGATAGTGTGTTTATAATATCATTTTATGTAGATATCCACAATTATTTAATATTTTTCTTCCGCAGTTTTTATTGAAAATGCAATATTTGATGTCTCGAAAAACCTGATGTGATAGACCAAAAACTGATGCCAGATTTGGAATCGGCACCCCAAAATTACCTTAGAACCGTTGGAATACCTTATGCCAGAAAAAGTGTGTTGACCAGTGTAATGGCTGCTGTCAATGGCGGCGGTGGTGGCCGTGAGCGGGAATTGAACTCGGTCATCCGCCAGAAGGACGTGTGGAGGAATATTTTAACAGCAGTCTCCTGTGGGATGGGTTGTGAGGTGGGAGGGAGGGGTGGGGGGGGGGTAGCAGTGGGGGGTTGAGGGGAGGGTGGTGGTGGTGGTGGTGGGGGGTATCTAATGAGGTCCGTTGCCAGGGCAACGCAGCTTGCCTGCCTCTCACACCATCGCTCTTCCCGTTCCCACGGCAACCGGGGAGATTCACGCTCTGGTCCATGAGCACGCAGAGGCGATGCACACTGATACAAGATCCCCCGTATAGCCTGTGGCAGGCACGTTGGGGGGATGTGCTGTTCGTAGCGAGTGGCAGCACTGTGGCTCACCCAGACACCACGCCCGGCCGTCTTTGTCTCTCCAGCGACGATGCTTTTCACGCATCGCACTCAAAATGTTTACTACGCACCGGTACTAGTTACTCAGAGGCTCAGTCGATCTAGGAAGATGGATGATGGGGTTGGGATGGTGATGATGGTGATGATGGCGGTGATGGTGATGATGATGATATTGGCAATGGTTATTGATGATGATAGTGATGGTGGTGATGATGATGGTGGTGACGGTGATGGTGGTGGTGATGATAGTGGTGGTGGTGATGATGGTGGTGGTGATGATGATGGTGGTGGTGGTGGTGATGATGATGTTGGCAATGGTTATTGATGATAGTGATGGTGGTGATGATGATGGTGGTGGTGATGATGGTGGTGGTGGCGATCATGGTGGTGATGATAGTGGTGATGATAGTGATGGTGGTGGCAGCGATGGTGGTGGTGGTGATGATAGTGGTGGTGATGATAGTGACGATGGTGGTGATTATGATAATGAGAATGGTGGTTACACAACCTCTCACGCAACACCCATCCATTACAGCTACACAGTTAACAACAAAAACAACAGCCCAGCCAAATGGCGTCAGCTTTGGAACATCGTTCACAGTTTTCGTCTGATTAACACCATGAGCTAAAATAGCAAAAAATGAAGACAAAGAACCCCCGTTTAGTATCTAAAAGACCGGTGGGGCAAGTGCTGTCATCAGCGAGTAGCAGCAGTGCATATACACAGGCAACGATCCCCCGTGTAGCCTCTAGCAGACTGCTGGGGCAAGTGCTGTCAGCAGCGAGTAGCAGCAGCGCATATACACAGGCAAAGATCCCCCATGTAGCCTCGAGCAGACTGCTGGGGCAAGTGCTGTCAGTAGCGAGTAGCAGCAGCGCCTATACACAGACAAAGATCACCCGTGTAGCTTCTAACAGACTGCTGGGGCAAGTGCTGTCAGCAGCGAGTATCAGCAGCGCCTATACACAGGCAAAGATCCCCCGTGTAGCCTCTAGCAGACTGCTGGGGCAAGTGCTGTCAGTAGCGAGTGGGTAGCCACCAGCGGCAATGTTTCCCACACACCGCACCAGCCGCTGTACTTCTCCTAGGCTGAGTAGACCTACGGGAGGAAGTGGCTCAGGATAATCGCAACACGTGAGCAAGGTGACAGCAAGTTCACAAATTGAGGATTCCCTCCCATCAGTACCAGCATCTCCCTTCCGGCACCAGCATCGTCATCATCGCCAGTACCATCATCACCATTATCATCATCAACACAACCATAAGCATCGCCAGTACCATCAGCATCACCAGTACCATCATCACCACCATCATCATCATCAACACAACCATAAACATCACCAGTACCATCAACATCATCAGTACCATCATTATCACAACCATCATCATCATCAACACAACCATAAGCATCACCAGTACCATCAACATCATCAGTACCATCATCATCACCACCATCATCATCATCAACACAACCATAAGCATCACCAGTACCACCATCACCACCATTATCATCATGATCATCATCAACACAACCATAAACATCACCAGTACCATCAGCATCATCAGTACCACCATCACCACCATTATCATCAATATCATCATCAACACAACCATAAGCATCGCCAGTAAGATCAGCGTCACCAGTACCATCATCACCAGTTCCATCAGCATCATCAGTACCATCATCCGCACCATCAGCACCATCATCATCAGCACCAGCAGCATCTCTACCATCATAACCATCATCATTATCAACACAACCAGAAGTATCACCACCGCCACCACCACCGAGATGGCGAAAGCTGGAACATTTCCTTTCTCGATGAACAAATAAAAACATTACGCAACAGAAGAAAAAATGAGGCAGTTGACCAGGCTGGCACCTCGTGAATGGCAAATTCCACCCACCACTTAAATTCCACCCACCACTCAAATTCCACCCACCACTCAAATTCCACCCACCACTTAAATTCCACCCACCACTCAAATTCCACCCACCACTCAATTCCACCCACCACTCAAATTCCACCCACCACTCAAATTCCACCCACCACTCAAATGCCACCCACCACTCAAATTCCACCCACCACTCAAATTCCACCCACCACTCAAATGCCACCCACCACTCAAATTCCACCCACCACTCAAATTCCACCCACCACTCAAATTCCACCCACCACTCAAATTCCACCCACCACTCAAATTCCACCCACCACTCAAATTCCACCCACCACTCAAATTACACCCACCACTCAAATTACACCCACCACTCAAATTCCACCCACCACTCAAATTCCACCCACCACTCAAATTCCACCCACCACTCAAATTCCACCCACCACTCAAATTCCACCCACCACTCAAATTCCACCCACCACTCAAATTCCACCCACCACTCAAATTCCACCCACCACTCAAATTCCACCCACCACTCAAATTCCACCCACCACTCAAATTCCACCCACCACTCAAATTCCACCACCACTCAAATTCCACCCACCACTCAAATTCCACCCACCACTCAAATTCCACCCACCACTCAAATTCCACCCACCACTCAAATTCCACCCACCACTCAAATTCCACCCACCACTCAAATTCCACCCACCCTCAAATTCCACCCACCACTCAAATTCCACCCACCACTCAAATTCCACCCACCACTCAAATTCCACCCACCACTCAAATTCCACCCACCACTCAAATTCCACCCACCACTCAAATTCCACCCACCACTCAAATTCCACCCACCACTCAAATTCCACCCACCACTCAAATTCCACCCACCACTCAAATTCCACCCACCACTCAAATTCCACCCACCACTCAAATTCCACCCACCACTCAAATTCCACCCACCACTCAAATTCTACCCACCACTCAAATTCCACCCACCACTCAAATTCCACCCACCACTCAAATTCCACCCACCACTCAGAATCCATCCACCACTCAGATTCTGATGCCCCTACCACTGATCCACTGCAGTGGCAGGGGTCTCTCTGCGCTCCAGACGGAGTCCAGGAGATGGGACCGCCGGACCAACGCTTTTACTCAGGAAAACAAAATTCCTGCGCTCAAAAAACTGAACAATGCGGCTGCCCATTGTGATCGTCACTGGCACTGCCAGAGACTGACATCCGCCCCCGTTCCCACAGCCCTCGCCATCCTCTCGCTACGCAACTGAATCCGTAACTTCTTTCGCTACAGCAACGCAGGCCCAACCGTGGCTCATCGGGCAACATTCTAGCGCCGAATGTCCGTGAGCCAGAGGTCGCAACCGGGTACCCGATACCCGTACCCTACCCGATACCCGGCTACCCGTACCCGGGCGGGTACGGGT